GGAGCCGGAGTCCCTTCGTTCTGGCAACTCCTGCGACGCCGCTGGTGCCAAACCGTATCGGTCTATGCCATTCCTATGGATCCATCAGCTGCGTGGAGAGAGGGAGCATGCTACATGGGTAACAGCTTGCTACTTACATTCTTTCGCCCAATCACTGACTCTACCTGTATGGGTGTGGGTAGAGACAATAATTACATAGTCGACAACGACTGAAGGGCCGTCGACATGTGTGTATATATATATATATATATATATATATATATATATATATATATATATATATATATATATATCGGTCTATGCCATTCCTATGGATCCATCAGCTGCGTGGAGAGAGGGAGCATGCTACATGGGTAACAGCTTGCTCCTTACATTCTTTCGCCCAAGCACTGACTCTAGCTACATGGGTGTGGGTAGAGACAATAATTACATAGTCGACAACGACTGAAGGTGGCCGTCGACATATATATATATTTTTATATATATATATATATACCCTCGTGGTCCCGAGTTCAATTCCCCGTCGCGGCAGTCGTAAAAATGCCTGCACTCTGACTGCTTGCTCGAGCCAGAGAAAACGACATATCGCCTTGAGAAGTCAAGCGCAGGTGTCGTAGGGGAAAGTCACCTTCGTGGCACAAGTGTTAACGCGCCGAACCGCGGTTGATCAGGAAGGGCATCCAATCAGGCAAGGGTGACACTGCCATATAACCTCTCAATAGTGAATTGAGAGAGGCCCATGTCCTGCAGTGGAATGAATGGCTGTTAAAAAAAAAAAAAAAAAAATATATATATATATATATATATATATATATATATATATATAGGGTTAGTCTTACATAATTGTGATAGTGATGCCCGACTACTGCCTTGTAGTTCAGTCTGCACATTTGTCCATCCTTGTGTGGTTACACCATAAACATGGACGGGTTTATGTATGTATGTATGTATGTATGTATGTATGTATGTATGTATGTATGTATGTATGTATGTATGTATGTATGTATGTATGTATGTATGTATGTATGTATGTATGTATGTATGTATGTATGTATGTATGTATGTATGTATGTATGTATGTATGTATGTATGTATGTATGTATGTATGTATGTATGTATGTATGTATGTATGTATGTATGTATGTATGTATGTATGTATGTATGTATGTATGTATGTATGTATGTATGTATGTATGTATGTATGTATGTATGTATGTATGTATGTATGTATGTATGTATGTATGTATGTATGTATGTATGTATGTATGTATGTATGTATGTATGTATGTATGTATGTATGTATGTATGTATGTATGTATGTATGTATGTATGTATGTATGTATGTATGTATGTATGTATGTATGTATGTATGTATGTATGTATGTATGTATGTATGTATGTATGTATGTATGTATGTATGTATGTATGTATGTATGTATGTATGTATGTATGTATGTATGTATGTATGTATGTATGTATGTATGTATGTATGTATGTATGTATGTATGTATGTATGTATGTATGTATGTATGTATGTATGTATGTATGTATGTATGTATGTATGTATGTATGTATGTATGTATGTATGTATGTATGTATGTATGTATGTATGTATGTATGTATGTATGTATGTATGTATGTATGTATGTATGTATGTATGTATGTATGTATGTATGTATGTATGTATGTATGTATGTATGTATGTATGTATGTATGTATGTATGTATGTATGTATGTATGTATGTATGTATGTATGTATGTATGTATGTATGTATGTATGTATGTATGTATGTATGTATGTATGTATGTATGTATGTATGTATGTATGTATGTATGTATGTATGTATGTATGTATGTATGTATGTATGTATGTATGTATGTATGTATGTATGTATGTATGTATGTATGTATGTATGTATGTATGTATGTATGTATGTATGTATGTATGTATGTATGTATGTATGTATGTATGTATGTATGTATGTATGTATGTATGTATGTATGTATGTATGTATGTATGTATGTATGTATGTATGTATGTATGTATGTATGTATGTATGTATGTATGTATGTATGTATGTATGTATGTATGTATGTATGTATGTATGTATGTATGTATGTATGTATGTATGTATGTATGTATGTATGTATGTATGTATGTATGTATGTATGTATGTATGTATGTATGTATGTATGTATGTATGTATGTATGTATGTATGTATGTATGTATGTATGTATGTATGTATGTATGTATGTATGTATGTATGTATGTATGTATGTATGTATGTATGTATGTATGTATGTATGTATGTATGTATGTATGTATGTATGTATGTATGTATGTATGTATGTATGTATGTATGTATGTATGTATGTATGTATGTATGTATGTATGTATGTATGTATGTATGTATGTATGTATGTATGTATGTATGTATGTATGTATGTATGTATGTATGTATGTATGTATGTATGTATGTATGTATGTATGTATGTATG